TAGTTAAGACGACTCAGAGGGAAGTTGATCGGGTGAGATAGATCGGACGGCTGAAAATGTGGTCATTTCTGATAAAACTGACATCATAACTAAGGGACCCGTCATACTTGATCCTCTTGATCCTCTTAATTCACTTGATCCGCTTGATCTACTTCGTGCAAAATGCGCGTCACTAATTTGTCATCGTCAATTGTCATTTGGCGTCGCGCACAGCGAGTTTGCGTAACCATACAAAATTTCTTTTCACCTGCGCGGCGTCAGTTGAAAACACTGTATCATAGAACCCAACAGCTCATCACTGGTACACTAGTCAAAACAGGCGTATAGGGATTGTGTAGCTGCTGTAACTGCCACAAACTTCGCTAAAAATGTTTTACTGAGTATGCGTCTCGACAACCATGTAAATCAAATGATCCACACTAGCATATGGTGAAAATGAGATTTCAAAAAGCACTCGAAATTGAAGTTCAGCCATAGCAATAAATCAATCATAACCAAAATTGGGGTGTTTGTTTTCAAGACTGTTCTTTTGTATAGCTATGATTGTTCACAAAAGAGGATAAGGTGGATAGACTGAAACAGATCCTTAGTGTTAAACGTCCGCTTAACGATACATCAAGCGAATTCAAGTACGAAAATTTGAGACAGGACCACCTCATTCACCTTCAGGCGCCATTCAAGGTTATTAGGAACTAACTGCTGCAAAACGTTGAATCTTATTTGTAGGAAGTCAATTTGAATGAATTTCTGAGGAAGAACGCCCCTCCAAAAAGAGTGCAAGGCGACATTACCAGTGAAATCATCGATTTTTGCGAACTTTTTTCAATGAGGTGCGTATTTAACCCTCTAACAAAATGAGCACCACGTAAACTACACTTGGATCTGCGCAAATACGAGTATCATGGTTTTAAAAGTGGCTCGAAGGGCGGATATAAACAATGTACCCGACTCCATTGTTGATGCGCTTACAGATGGTAATTCACAGCTGAAAGTGATTGAGCTACAAAAATTCAGAGTTCATTTTGGATGCTTTGAATTTGAATCACGACGAACTCTACCGATCGAATCTGCACCTGCTAAGGAATTCACAGAACAGGTGCTGTCTATATCTACCACTAGCTGGCTTACCCGGCTTCGCCGTATGTTCCGAATAGAAAATTTCATCTCTCAACCGATCCGGACCAAACTTGGCACACATACACTTCGGGCCCCGGCGGGTATCACAGTCCACTTTTCGTTATCGATCGATGTCGACTTTATCGATTTTTTGCAAAATTTGAGCTACTACGGGGCTGGGAGTTGGCACAGGGGGGGGGGTAATCGAGCATGCTGATCACCCCCGTGGGGGTGATCAGCATGCTCGATTACACCCCTCTGCCAAATTCCAGCCCTCTAGCTCAAATTTTGCAAAAAATCGATAAAGTCGACATCGATCGATAACGAAGAGTGGACTGTGACACCCGCCGGGGCCCGAAGTGTATGTGTGCCAAGTTTGGTCCCGATCGGTTCAGAAATGAAATTTTCTATTCGGAACATACGTACACACATACAGACAGACAGACAGACATACAAACAGACATTCAGCTTTATATATAAGATAAGCATTTTAGACGCTGAAAATATTAGTTTTTGGCTGTCGCTAGCTGAAAAAGAGCAAGGCCGTGAAAAAGCCATTAATTCACTGCTGGAAAAAAGTCGAAATGGAGCGTAAGCTCAAAAACATGCATTGCTGAAGCGCTTTAAGTTTACCACTTCTACATTACGCCATCGTAAAACGGCATTTTCTATTTTCAGCGAGGATGTGCGCTGCTATCGCTTGCACAATGGTCGTCCTGTTCCACCGAAGGTATGTGAGAATCCGCTTTCTCCCATTTCTAATCATATATATGTATTCTTTTAGAAATCGAAGGGTGCCTTGTTGGACTTGGGCGCACCGACAAGGAGACAATGAGCACGGACGCTTGGAATGAAAACTTAGGCAGTCAGCCGTAAAAAATTTTTTTGTTTGTTTTGTCAACAGATACTCAACATGTGCATATGTACTCAGTTATTCAGTGAAGTATTTATTTTGAATGCGAAACAAACATTTTATCCTTAATAAAAGTATAGACTGTTCTTTACGGCAACCGCATGAAAAGTGGTCATTAGCTGAGATTCCAACAGATTAACACAGCCTTGACACATATGTTGTGTCACAGCTTAACGCATCATGACTCCCATTGGAATGGCTACTATTTTGTTTCAAACCAACTCTGGGAGTTTTCTTTTATGCTGAATCTAGATATAACCTCTACTGTTTTTGCCAGCATTCCAACGTTACTCTAGGTGTACTGTAGACGGAATTGCGCGTGATCTTATCTGGAAAATGTTGGCTGGTCCGAGAAGGGCTTTGGTCGTCGGTGTGTTAAGCAAGAAGTTCCCGGGAACTTCAACTATAGAAGTTCCCGTGAACTACAGTCTTTTGAAAACTTTCCGCGAACATTGGATGAAGAAGTTCCGGCAAACTACAATCTTTTAAGAAGTTCCCGAGAGCTTCAGAGTTGAAGTTCCCAGGAACTTACAATGGAGTTCCCCAGGTGACCCGCCGGAGCTTTCCTTAATGTTCGCCGGAACTTCCCGGCGTTTGTCTGAGGCCGTGACCTACCGCTATACGCAGCTGTCACCAATAGCTTTGTAAAACTTTTTCAGAAAACGGACAAGCAAAGCGTATTTGTATTGATCTAGCAAACATATCTAGACACACTTTGAGGAAGGTTGCGGCCACATCATCTGCTACGATCTGGAGAAAATGTTGGTGAGGATGTTGCAGGAATTGGAAAAAGAAGCGACGGAGAAGAACAAGATGGCGAGAAATTCAAAAAGGCTGTGGCGACGGCGATCTAGATGAGTTTCGCTCATCCGTTTTAGCCAGAAAATTGGCGAAGGAAAGTACGATGAAGAGTATGAACATTTGGGCCAAAAGGTTCGCAAATCCATACCTTACCTTCGAAGTTGCTACTACTCAAGATCAAAATGAATTCTTATCACCTTTTACAACTCTCGCAAGGATGTCAATTTGTGTTTGATGAATTCATGAACATTCAAAAACGATTTGAAAAAATTTCTATAATAGAGTACAACGAACTTTTTCTACTTCTACCACTCCTTTTTCACGCTGATATTCAATTCGAAAGCACATTACATACCATGGAAGATGTGATGCCTTCGTTCAAGAAATTGAGATCGTCGGAGCATCTTGATAGGAGCTGTTTGATATTCGTTACCACAATCGTGTTGGTCAGCTGCCACAATAATTGACTTTTTCAGCGAAGTGAATTTTCCGAGATTTGTTTCGTCCTTGCGCAGTAATCTTCCTATTGCAAGTGTTGGTTGTTTTGCCGAGCCCAAATTTTTACGGTGAATCTTTTATTGCCTCATGTTTCGACACTTTTCGTCTTCTTCGGAGGCCTTTGATCCACCTCGATATCGATGTTAGTAGTCCGCACCGAAGTACTGGACAGTAGCGCACACTGATGGTATAGATGGCTATAGCTATTATGGCTTGAGTGCCGTCCATCTAAAATGGGTCGAAAACTTTCGAAATTTATACTTGGGTTATAAAAATGTGCAAGTGGTTAAAATGTTTTTTTGAGAATTCTCAAAAATCCAAATTAGCCTTGTAAAATTTTTTTTGGGGGTCCTGAGACGGCCACTGATAGCAACCTCTATCAAGTGTTACTGTCGCATATTGCATAAATGTCGAGAGGCTAGAAGAATTGATCTTTTGATCTTGTTACCGCATTGGCAAGTTTAGAACATTTGTTTCATTTACAATGAATTTTGGCCGCATGATCCTAATAGGGCATTTGAAAAATCGTGACGATGGCGCGATGCGCGCGACATTCACGCCTTTTTCCAAAACTCATTTTCTTGGTTTTCATCTCTAGTCGAATGGTTTTTTGCTTACGTATGGTAATATTTAGACTCTGGAAGTGGCTGAGCTGAATATCGACGTGATGCCTTCTTGTATGAGCGTTTTATGTTGTGGGCGCAAAATCCGCACTGAAATCCGTCTTCACGGTTTTATAAATAAACTATATTACATTAACCATGATGCCGTACATCAAATCAATGAACATCACTTTATGTAGTAGTTTACTTTGTATGATATTATACTCTGTATTTACTCGTCGTTACCAAGTACTGCTACTCACTGACCACTCAGCCGCTAGGTCTCGTCATGCGCTTGACAGTCTACATAGCATGGCCTGCTTATATGTACGCAATCCTTTAATCTGTATGATACTTACCAGATGGCTTGCTTGTCCACGCCCAAAACAGCGTCTTAAAAGGGCAAAAATGCAAGTTCTAGGGTTGATTCACTTAATACTCCAGCGGCTATTCCGCACTCAGTGTGTAGTCACCGGCTGTTCCACTACAGAAAAACAGTGTACAGCATAGAGGTATTAGCTTACTTTGTTTGAGATAAGGTTCCGAAGCGCATGAAAACTATTTCATTGTAGCTTATATACATTAAGTCTTTAACTCCCTTCGTTTTAGATTTCACCTAAACGCTTTGAAAGTCCTTTCAGATGTAAAATCTTTATTGTCTAGAATACGACGAATACGGCTAGACGATGTGTGGCTAAAGCAATAGAAACGGAACCCGCAATGCCGTTTGAAGCTATTCATCTGTAAAGTAACCTTGACGTAGGCTTTGGTCTCTTCTCGCTTGGGAGACTCATTAGTATCATATTTGTCGTGACAAGATTGTGGCTTTAGAAATTTTAAATGTATTATAATCTGAATACGCATGCGTATACACATCCTATAAATGTAATCAACATAAAGGGAGCCTGGATGATATCTTGCATGCATTGTCTCCAAGAAACTTCTGCAAAACTAGACCTATAAACTATATAACGATGATTTCAAAGAACTGACTCAAGCTAGTTTTAAAACAAACATGAGAACTCAGGTTCCAAGGAAATCAAAATACTTCGGCCATCACGGCATAGACATCAAAATAAGGTCGCAGTGGTGGAGTGCAGGGACATCCGTCGTGGCTTACACAATTTGCGAAAGGGCTTATTAAAGAGTAGGAGGACAACGCTAAAAGTGCATTGTGTCATGTTCCCGAATTTTCCGTTTAAGTTTTTTTTTCTCACGCATTGCTAGTTTGGACGGTCTCCCATATCACTACGTTGATTAGTACATACTGTATCTGTGAAGTACGTTTAGGTGTAGGCAGAAAATGAAATCCAATCAGTGTAATCACGAGAATTGTTGCAGTGACACATCCCTGAACAGGAGCAAAGGAGTTTGAAAGTTGCAAATTAGTTCAGTATACCTGTATGTAAAAATTCATGTTCAATCTTGATTGCGAGCTTCGAGTATCAGATTTTGCAGCGTTTGTGTTATATAATCGCTTTAGTTTCTTGAAGTGACATTTTAGCATACAACTTAACTAAAGAAACGGATGAGAACTGACCTTTGCTTGCCTCCGCAACCCAAAGAGAGTTAGCGTATTTACTAGCACTATCAAACCAGACATAAGTAAACCGAATATATAACTCATACGCGATGCTATCTGTGTGCACAGCGATTGGCGATACATCCAAACTGCTATTTTGGCATCGTACCATTTAGAACACTCATCTGTAACGATGTAGTCAGATGCAGTAAAGGTTCAAGCTATTCACTTACACCACCAATACATAGAAGTGTGAAGCAGAGATAAGAGCCATGTTACGGATATAATAACGACCAAATTTTTCCCAGAAAATATCTTCCTAAATGACGGGCCTTGATGGTATTCTTCATGCTGCTTTGCTTATTTATGCTGTTGGTTTCTCAGACTTTTTGATTTGCTTTTCAAATCTATCGAAGCTGATTGTAAGAGATCTGACCGCGCGATGAATCAAAGTGTATGCAGTGAGAGTAAATAAAACAAATGCAGATGATTGAGAAGAAATGGTGACAAAGATAAAAATTACGAGAATTACCACTGAAAATGAAAGTTTGTCGTATGCAACCACAACGAACTAGATTCGATCAAAATCTTTGGATTCGTTTCATTTTCAAAACTATTCTGCATGTTTCTAGTATTTCATCTATTGATGCTTAGAACAGTTTCGTGCATATATTTTTACCCGCTCTCATCGAATACCCCTCGAAAACCTCTTTTTTTCTTAGGTTATCCTTACTTGATGCCAAGCTTACGAGTATGACAGTGGCCATGTGACGGCTATCATCCTGTTGACAGCAACGAGTAGATGGCAGTAGATAGACTCATACCAGAAGAAGTGTATGAATTGACCAAATCTTGCTGCGACAAAGCCTTTCATGATGGATTCGTCCGGGTTGCTACACAAATTGTTTATCAGCGCAAAGCTTTCTTAGATTCATGCAAACTTACAAAAGCGTTACAGGTCCAGTCCAGAGAACGTTAGGAAAAACAGCTCCAAAATCAGCGATGAGCTGGCAAAAACATATGTAGCCGAATGCGTTATGAAACATTGGTGTCTTGATTATCATGACCATAACAGTAACGCTCAACAACGAGCTTATACTTCCAGTCTAAATCGACAAAAATTTAACATTCAATCTCAATCCTCATTCCCATCAGAGATACTCTAGCCAACCAAACTCAATCACGGAGTATACTTCGAGGTTGCTGATTTCACAACAAAATTGATTTTCAGTAGAAAGACGTCTTTGAGCTCTATTTTCCATCAGAATGTCATTCACCAAACAAGAAAAGGATACCAAGTCGCGCTAGTGTCGCACTAACTTATATATCAACTGGAGCTTATTTCACTATTGCACCGAATATGCAGGAAAAATCTTCCAAAAGATGGGCAAAAGAACGCATCAATTGCGCAGTATATTTTGTAATTTTAGCGAAGATACTCGATAAGCGATTACTGTTTCTCATCAAATTGTTTCTCTAGTACATACTAATAATTGATTTAATTTAACGGAATCAAAAAGTAGAATAAAAAATTCAAAAAAGAAAACCATTCTTGTAAAATTCACAGCAGATTTTTCTCTGATGTAGTGGCTTTGAAACAAGGCTAGCAAGCTTAGATTTAATTAGACTATTTAGAAGTTGCGGTCTGATTTTGAAGTGATGAGATTTGAATGCTTCCCATCATTAGCTTGTTTCTCCTCTAGGCCAACAACAATTTTTGCTCAGTCATCACCTCAGAGCAAATAATCTCTTTTTTCAAATATTGCAAGTTTCAAATCAAGTTTGCTATAGAAAAGCCATCAGGACGTTGCAGCATAGACATAAGATACCTCATTTTCTGTGGAAGGGAACTTAACAAGTTCCCAAAATCCCTACAACTAAACTTTGCCAGAGCATGTACAACTTTGCTACGTCTTGAAGCGTAGTAAAAGTCATGTAAGACCCCTTACCATGCTGACGACTCGAATATTTATGTACCAGTGCGTCACCTCTGCTTCGCAGAGGCTCGCACTGGCTCTACTATCTAGGCCCCACTCATTCTCGCATAATGATGGCATTGGAACTCACCGAGCAATGCTGACTATTACGAACAAAATGTAAACAACTACTCATTTCGAAAGCTTTTTTATGTGAAATTGGTGATTCCGTGTAGATGAGACTTTTTGCAGGAGAACAAACGCAATTTTCTAAAAGTTTTTCATTTTCCCATGGTCTTGACAGTTGCAGTAAGAATAGCAGTCACCGTGAGCTACATCTTTGTGCAAAAATCTTGTCAAATGGTCTGTTAAAACTTTGGCAAATTGAACATTTACGCAACCAATACTTTTTGGCGCCGTTTTTCTAAAATAAACTTTTGAAAACTTTTTTGGGTCTAAGTTCATGATTTGCACTTTTACTTGGCATAAACATCCACTACTTTGCAAAAAGTGGAATTATGGACCCAATCATGCGGCCCAAATGCAAAGTGGATCCGTTTGACGCGCAGTTTCTGAAGGACCCACTCAACGAATCTGCTCGTGCTTTTGCGTGTTGGACTTTCATGCAGATAGCATGCGCTATGCAAAATTTGAGCCCAGGAGGTTGGCTGGAACACTCTCTACGAATTTCGTAACAGACACACTCTCTCACACACACACACACACACACACACACACACACACACAAAGTCACGTAAACATCCTTAGCCCGTTATTATAAGTTATGATGTTTTTATGACAAAGAGAATGATCCAAATCTGAAATCGCATCAACAAAGACGAGATTTCAAATTTTTTTTATAACAGGGGAGTTGCGGTGCACCGCTGACCAAAAACTCACCGTAACCAGAATTGCGCCGGACCATATGTCGTCGCTTGTAGTATCATTGGATAGGACGGCGAGAGAAGCATTAAATCTTGTAGTCATCCTTTAGAAGTTGATAAGCGGCAAGGCCTTTTGGTAGTTAAGCCACTGAGAGTGGAGCGCCTAGACAGCTTTGTTACGCCTCAGTATCTTATTATCCAGTACCATATGGAACTAGCAGACCGAATAATAGGCAATGCTTTTGTAGGGCAGCTACTTTTTTTCGTAGATTGTGTGAAATCAGTGGATCAGGTAGGTCACCACTACGATTTACTATCGCTACATAGTCTATAGTGTCTCTCTGAAGTGTAAGATTAGGACATTAAAAAAATAAACCTCTTAAGAGTCCTTAATGGAAGGACAGGATCTCTTGGAAAAAAGCACATCAACATTTTACTTCCTCAAACGGTAGATTACGTGAGATGGGAAAAATGCAAAATTATTAGCAGCAGCATTATCTGCAGCATATATGAGTTCAAAAATACCATAATATGCTTATAGATGAGCTTGATCGTTAGAGTGCATTTTAGTGTTCCTCAATTAGGCCTCTGAGCAAGTTGGCCGAAAGGTTAATTTGATAAACCCGTCTGTGTCGTTATGTTAGCGTTGGAGCTCCGCTTACCTCTGTACTTATCCTACCCGCGAACGGTCTGCTTATTCTCTGCTCTGTACTGCATCCACCACGACTGGGAGTGAAGAACTGTTGGAAGAAACGGTGGTTGGTCCACCGGTAGCAGAAGCTGTGACTGCACGGAAAGGCAAGGAGAGAAGGGTCCAACGCCGACAACGACAGATTCACGTATGTTTTTACAATGTACGTTCTTTAGCGTCAAAGGAGAGACTAGCGGCCCTTGAGGAAGATTGTGTAGAATAAAGTTTGACATAGTAGTGAAACGAGTGAAACGCCGCGTAGCGGCACCATCTCTCCAAAACGGATTCCCGGACTGCAATTATATAATAGTGGGAGAAGAATTGGAAAAAGTTCTCGAGAGGAGTATGTATACTGGTCAACGAGCGTCTACGGCGACAATGACAAGCGTTGGCTGATTTTGCTGAGTCGGAGAAGTTCTACACAATGAATTCATTCTTTCAAAAATCGAACAAGATAGATGGAGCTGGCCATCTTCGAATGCCACGTTTTGGAAGAAAGTGATTATGTACTTTCCTCGTTCAAATTGGATACCAGCCACCGGTCGATGTTTCTGTGACGGTAGATCCAGAAGACGATGGCAAGACGATAAGCGAAGTTTTCAACTCCAAACTCACTCGCTACTGGCAAAAAAGAATTTAAGACCCTTGTCAGTGGAAAAGATTGGGCAAATCATATGCAGTCTCACTATTGAATACCTGAAGCCCTAGACAAATTCATCATATTCTACATGCTTGTAATAAACCGTCGAGTATGAATGAAAAATGAATGAATGAATGGGGCTCCGCTTTGCGAGCCCTTAGAATTACGAGGGCTGAGAGCACCGTACTGATAAAGCAATTGTCTCTGGACCTCTCCTTGCAAAACGCGTTGCAGCCAAATGAATACGGCCAATTTGGCGCCTGTTCTTTTCCTTGTTGATTTTCTTATGTCATTTCATATCTTTGCAGGTTTTCGATTGGTTGTGCCTTTCGCCTTGGAAAGATCCTCCGCGTTAACGGTCGATCATTTGTAAATTCGAACATCTTAAGGAATATCTAACAACTGCGAACTAGCAAGAGGAAGGAATTGTAAGTGCAGAGAGATATTCGTGTCGTATACCAACCTTAATTATACGTTTCAATCTTGCCGTACAGGTTTGTTGGGATGGTATATATAATATATTCAAATAGGCCCAACGTTTCGGCACCTTCGCTGTCCTCAGAGGCCTAAAAGAGCCCAAAGCATCACCTCCAACATCAGACCATCAGATATCTCCTCTAGCTTGGCTAGTTTCGACTTTGTTTCAAGTTCAGTCCGCAAAAACTCTTCAGACAGAAATGAATCTACCGTTATATCACCGCTTTATGATGTATCCGCACCGGCATTATACCACCGCTATATAATTCTTGTAATCGGATTTTCTCACAAGCGAAGTAGAAGTGTTGACTACTAGGATGTCTTGTATATAGCGTGCGGCACAATTTCACTCTAGGTGCGGGTCTCTGAGCTGCTAGAGTGTGTTTTGATTTATGGAGTGGTAATCAAAGAGAAAGACGGTTGTGCAACTTTGTTCTACCTGATTACAAATCTCTTCCACAGTAGTAAGGCTTGTTTGAAGTAATGAAGAATGAGCATTTATAAATGATGTCTTAATAGGAAAATATTCATTTACCGTCTGACTGAAAATATAAGTACTCAGTGAGAGAAGAAAGCGCCCCGTGATGAGATTCAAATTTACACTAGTTCCTGGCAAGGAAAGTGTAATAAGGTACCGACAGCTCATTGTCTGTGCATCTTGGCGAGTGTATATGGTTTCTAATACTGCAGAGAAGATGGTCATTATATAAATCTTATATATAAAGCTGAATGTCTGTTTGTCTGTCTGTATGTATGTATGTCTGTCTGTACGTATGCTCCGAATAGAAAATTCCATTTCTGAACCGATCGGGACCAAACTTGGCACACATACACTTCGGGCCCCGGCGGGTGTCATAGGCTACTTTTCGTTATCGATCGATATCGATTTTATCGATTTTTTGCAAAATTTGAGCTACAGGGCTGGGAATTGGCACAGGGGGGTAAGTGAGCATGGGGATTCCGAACAATATTAGTTTTTGAAATCGTGCATTACTTTTATCGATTTTATCGATTTTTTTGCAAAGTTTGAGCTACGGGGCTGGGATTTGGCACAGGGGGTAATCGAGCATGCTGATCACCCCCGTGGGGGTGATCAGCATGCTCGATTACCCCCCCCCCCTGCCAAATTCCAGCCCCCTAGCTCAAATTTTGCAAAAAATCGATAAAATTGGCACCAATCGATGACGAAAAGTGGACTGTGACACCCGCCGGGCCCGAAGTGTATGTGTGCCAAGTTTGGTTCGGATCGGTTAAGAAATGGAATTTTCTATTCGGAACATACGGCGGAGCCGGGTAAGCCAGCTAGTATGTTATATATACATCCACTTGTGCTTGCAATTCAAAGAGTGGCTGGTGATATTAACACGTTTCGGACCGCGAAATCGCGCGCGGCGAAAAAGAGGGTACTTTCAGCCGTTAGCCAACAAAGGGGCCTTAGTTCGTAGACTGTGTGCTACATCTATAATCAGCATGTCAGACAAGATCCATACCCAAAGTTCCGAGTAAATTAGAAATGATTGAATTTTGTCGCTTGCGAAGGACTTCTGTGCTTTCTTGAAAGATAGGAACAAGAACTCAGTTTCTAATTGTATCCAAAAGTATCTATGTTGTACGCGATACACATCATTATCGAAACTGCGGTTTTTCTCCTTGAATTCGAAGCAAAGGAATGTTGCGACGTCGCACGCGTCGTTCGCGTTCCGCACTTCGTTGCAACTGTTGTTCGATTTGTGCTCATATCTTCTGAACCAATATAGGCGGCACATCCTTACAGAGCCAGTTGAGAAGAAGAAGCTTAGGCCTTTGACTTGATAACCTTGGACAAAAAGAAAACCTTCTGTAAACGTTAGAAAGATCTCTCAAAGACGCGTGCTGCACCATGTGCAGCACCGGTTTGAAACGTGTTAAACTACGACACTCATCTTTAAATCTTATCTTTGGCGCTGTTTAAGATTATCAGAATACATGACTTTATTATTAGAGAGCAAAACAATCAAACAAGGTTGAATAGTTGTAAAGAGACGTAGACCATGCCTTATTATTTATCAAGTCATCACAATGCAAAAAGTATATTTGCCTTTATTTTGTCACAGGAAAGTGATGTCAGTACATTATGCAATGGAGTATAAGCGAGTTTGCAAACTGAATGTTTTACAGCTCATGACCGAATACATCCAAAACGTTAGTGTAAAAGCAAATAGGAGCCAAGCTCTACAAAGAACCACCAAATCAACAGCTTTGCCAATCGAGCCACCCATTAGCTGCCTCTAACTTATTGATACTGAGTGCAAGATAGTGCTAGACCATGGCTCGATTGAGTTTAGCTCAAATGAAGCTTGTTCACAGAACCTATTCACCCCTTCCCCCAAAGAATAGGTCTCGACATAAAAAAGTGGTCTACACGGCCCATGAAATCTGCAAATATCTTGTTTTGATTTATGTATAACTAGGATACCTCCGGAAAATTGGAATTAACTCTGTGGAAAAATTCTTCGGCACTTGGTCGACGCCGCTTTACTCCTCACATGATGACAGGGTTATAGGAATTAAGAGTTGAAAACTCCAGAAACTTTTTCAGATGGCGTCACGTCAAACCAGAAAAACCTCCTGCGTACAGCCGCTGGTGGCACACCATCCAAGCTGCTTCGGATATCCAACATGCACCATTAGAGCTGTTAATCAGGAAAAAGTCATTTCCGTACGCGGATTCACTGCTCGTGGCCTATTCAGGCAAAGCATTGGTCGGAAAACATCGCGAAAGGGTTTGTTGAAGATGATAAGTACAATGCTGTAATAGGCGATTACAAAGCGGACTGATATGACTGACTGAGATGTCATAGGCAATTTTCTCACCCATTACTCATCTGAACGAGCTCCCAGACAAGAGTGTCCAGAAAGTATTTCAAATGTTTCGTCGTTGTTAGGCGAATAAACTGAACTGCATAAAGTGTAAAAATCATTATGGCGGCACTAACGCAACCCTGAAATGTGGCTTTTGCAACTGAAAGGAACTATAGATACTCACTCAGATCTCACCTGTATGTAGAGATGCTTATTACTTCTCAATTTCCTTAGTGATTGCACTGCACTTGCTCCAGTTATGCGTCGCAGCACCTTCAACCAAAAGTAATATCTTACATAATTCAAACGATGATTATTTCAAGTTTGTAAAAGCTTCTGTTCTTGTCAAAAGAGCAACATGATATAATATCATTACACTGATAGAACCTCGTTACATAGTTTGAGTTTCCATCAATATTTCCAGGCGTAACCAAATCACTTTTTCACGTTGAATAATGATGTCACATTCTATACATCATACTCCCAGTCGCAGAACCTAGAGGATCGTCCACGACATCCCACGAGGACTTTTGACTTCTTTCTCGCTTTGTTGGTTAGAGAGATTGCTGTCAATGAAGAACGAAATTCCCTTTGCCTTTGAACCAGAAGGACAATTTTACAACAGTATTTCTAGGTAGGCGTCCCTTAATTGGATGTATTCGGCCGAAAGTTTTAGAGCTTGACTGGCCTACTCAAACTATCAGGATTCTGTACATAAGAGAAAGGCTTTTCGAGCAGGGTTCGTTAGCCTCCGAGACCTTTAGGACCATACGGAAGAGGTGAAAGTAGGAGAAAGTATGCTTTACAGTCTTCATTGACCAAGCCAAATCCTTCCTTTCGCTACATATGATCTGCACCGATACTAGCTAGGCTCACTCTGGTCTCCAATCTTATGATAAGGAAAAAAATCACTTCGCTGTGCGCGTGCGTTCAAGCTTCGCAGGAACGCTGCAACCTCAGTTTTGAACAATCAAGAAGATTACGTATTATACCTTCATTTCCTTTCGAATGAAGATGAATGTCGCCGTATTGATTGACACAATAGCAATGAAGACAATCATAGTGTAGATGAAAGCAATAGTCTCATTGACCATAACAGCACATGTACTGTTGTGATACGTCCATGCCGGTAGTTTAGGGTCGAACCAAATTGAGCATTCCTCTTTAACAATTGTATAATGAGACAATTTCCAAAAGTACGAGTTTTTACCCCAGGAAAATACGATTGAATGACAAAACGATATGAACCAAAACATGCCGATAAAATATAATATCTTCCTTCCAGAGAAAAGCCTGCTGAAAGAGGATGAAGACGAATACGTGAGTTTCCTGCATCTATTATTTCTTTAGAAGTGCAGCATTAGTCAAAAGTTATTGAGCAAATTTCCAGCTAAGATACTTGCGCTTTACACAGAAGAACTTTTGGTGGTGCTCTTTGATTATGAAAATGTTGAAGTTTATTCACTAACAGAAAACAAGAAAAGAGTCCTACTTTAAGCAACTGTTGGCGGCATTTTAGATGAGCACTTACCTGTACATTAAGGGCCATGCGACTGCAGCTAGGCGGTTAATGGCTATTTGTAAATGAGAGTATGTTGACTGATACCAAAGCAGCTGCATAGCTTGTCCAAACCTTTTTCCGAAGAAACTACTTGTGATGGAAATGTCATATCCACTAAAGATCGCATTACTTTCATTAAATAGCAAAAGCGAAAACTTACATAAATGTTGCTGGTCCGGTGTAATAGATACTACTAGAAACAATGGCTATGTCAGCGATCAAATGAGAGAAACATATGTAGCCGAAAGCATTGTGGAACAATGGCGTCTTTACGATTAGGATCATGACGGTGACGTTGAGACAGGTGCAGAATACTCCGAGCAAAAAAAGGCAACATTCATGCATAATCAGAGGTGAGATAGGGTGAGCCGGTTCCCTCCCAGCTGAAAATGGTTGGACTACCATTGGCCGCCAAAAGTAAAGTAGTAGCCGGGACCTTGCTGTTCAAAAGCGTTTCACCGAGGGGGGGGGGGGATGAGAACTAGCGGGACTTGATCTATTCCAAAATTCTTTTCTGTCGGTGGAAAAATTAGGTTGATTGAGTAGTTGATCGCTGGAAACAAGGACTCAAAAACTGAAATAGCGAGAAGTTTAATATGTGATTGCAAGTGTTTCCGGTCTTGTTCGTAAAAAGATTAGTCACTACGATTTCATTGTAAATAATGCTATATGCTGCTATCCATAAGTACAAAGCTCCCCTGGAACCACGGTAAGTTGCTCTGTCGTGACTGAAACTATTCGAAAAACTTTATGTGTAGGCCAGTGTAATCATACTCATTCTGATCACTCGATCAAGCAGGAAACCGCTCAAAACTTTTAGATTTTATCATTTCTTACGATTCCGTGAGATCTGACTCGATGAGTTTTTAAAAAGATTAGATTCTAAAGTTATACTGGATCCACTGCAAAACAATCTGCAGGTATAGCATTTTAACTTTAATGTTGCTACTGCGTGCGAGAATTCTGACAACTTTTGCTTGAATACGTCGTCATGCAGACAAGGTTCAGATCTCAACAAAAGTTTTGGCGCGTCCAAAATCTAATTTGTGACTCAAAAGCGTATTTACGCCTCACTATGGTTGAGGCTCGTGTATTAATATCAGCATTCAATAAGGCTTACTCAAATCCCCTTCAACGCATTCATAGTATAGGCCTGGGCTCTGCACAGGTGGCCTAAAGGGCCGGCTAGATAACGTTTTGGGGTAACAGCAAAGCAGCAGTGGCGTACCGAGGATGGGGGGAGGGCGGGGGGGAGGGGGCGCCCCCCCCCCCCCCGAGAACGGGTCGCGAAATTTTTGAAAGTTACTTATGTGAGTTATAAAAATGTGCAAATGACTTGTTTATTTTTGTAAACAATTAAAATAATTTTTAAAAATTTTTAAAAATTCAAATTAGCCTTATAAAAAATTTTTTTCGGGGGCGTGGCTGACGCCACGCCCCTTTTTTCCAGATGTTAGGGGTGGGGGCCCGCAAAGATTTTGAGAAGCCCCCTTAAAATTTTTTCAGAGTGCGTGGCTAACGCCACGCACCTTCATTTGAAAAAAATTTTCGCCGCCCCCCCCCTCCCGAGCCGAAATCCTGGGCACGCCACTGCAAAGCAGATATCGTTTTTGCGGTTTAGGGCCGAGAAGAGCCGCAAACACGAGGGCGGCAAGCTCACCACAATGGCAAAGCCTTGTTTACAATCAAAGCGCAATGACATGACAACAAAGTTGTGTAAATGCGCAATAAAGAGTTGGAACCATGTGTAAAATTTATGGAAAACTTAATAAAATGAATCCGTGGCCAACTTTTTTCGGACTTAGCTGGCTTTACGGTTAGCTGAAAGGCCACCTGAAGTGGCTGTAAAAAGAAAAAGTGATTTTTTCTTCTCATATAATTTTCTCAACTTTTTTTACATAATTCTACTGTACGTCTATTCTACCTACCTATGCATTCTTGAATCGCCGCAAACCCCCTCCTCTCCTTTCAGTTACAGCCTCCCAAACTTTTTAATGGTTGCAGCAATGCTGCTCCAAGTTCGCGGTGGTTCGCTGCGGAACATAAGCTGCCAGAGCACGCCATAAAAACACCATCGTTTTCTCTCGCTTCAAAGTTTCAGTGCTCTGTCTGTTTTTATCTTTCCCTTTTTTGTGACCATAAGGCATATCGTAGAAGTGCTGTAAAGTCAAGGACTTACGCTGAGAAATGCGATGGCCACCTTGAGAACTAGTAAATACCCAGCAAATTAAAAGACCTTCATCCAAAACAAAAATAGTTGAAAATTTCAAAAAAGCAGTTTTCTGAAACATTCTTTGAAGGCAGCGTTCAGGCCAATCTGAACATGTGGGGATCTCACATGGATAGTAGATTTGGGGTTCTGACTCGGTCACTGCCAAGCCGACAGCTCAGGCAGTGCTCTAACGGCTGAAATATTCCCCTCGAAGCTGCGCCCCAGGATCGTATTCGCATGGATTCACGGCGCAAACCGTGGGTCCTCGAGCGAAACTGATGGGTTGCGCCATGAATTATAAACGATCCTGTGGCCCAGTCTGGAGACGTATATCTCAGCCGTTATTGAGTCAGCTGGGCTGGGTTTATGCAGTGCCTTAGTTAGGGACCCAAAATTACTTCTCACTAAAATCCCCATAGCTACAGATTTGCTTGGACGCTGCCTTTCAAGCAGCTTAAAGAAAAAATGCAGCACGATTTTTCTTTTTAGACAGCTCCTAGATGCAACTACAGTCTGCCCCAATCGGGATCAGACCGAACCGCTGGCTGAATTTGCGCGCTCGCAACGCTAGTAGTCTGCGCGGCATATGCGCGCTTCCCGAGAGCGAAGAAATTGAGGAGAGAGCAGACTGGCTAGCCGTAGACGTGACGCGATACCCTCGCGACACGGGTTCCCGCCATGCCAATTTTGGCCTGGTTGGGATTGGGGCAGACTGTAATGTTTCATGTTTGTTGCTGTAACTGTACAATGAATTTTAGGTCTCAAGAGTGTAGAAGTTTTAAGAAAGGAGGTGACGCTATAGCCATGACCAGCCTTTCAATTTATCCGCATTCTGGTCAATGATATAACGTTCGCCTACAAACAATAATGGTTTTTCAGACAATTTCATTCATGAAGAGCTAATTACCCCAATTCTAAACCGGTTTATAGCTCAGCACTGTATCGAATAATGAAAACTAAATTAATCTAGAAGTCTGTCGCCGAGAGCCACAATTTCAAATAGTGAATTTCAGTAATACACCTGAAAAACTTCATGACTTCTTTCCGTTCCTCTTACGGGTATGTCCCGTAAAAGACTCTGCGGCACATCCAAAAAAGCCCTCACTTACCACCTCCCAACCGGATTCATAGAGTTCATGAAAAGTTTAAATTTTGAGACCTAATTTTACGTGCTATTTTAAGGTCTGGTTACCGGCGATGCTTGCATGGATTGGCCTATCTAAATTATTCTGATGGGACAAACCTCGCTTTTTAAGGCTTAAAGGCACCGTCCACCCAAAATAGGGTTAATGAGATTTTGTGGTGGGGACCTCAAGTGTATACTATACTTGTTCAACTTGCGCTGGTAAAAGTTGCTTCAGAAGCGAGAAAATTGCCTCGAGAATCGCTTGGATGACAGTTTCGCCACGTTGGCTCCTCCCCTTTAAGTGGACGTGACGTTCGTCCCGCCCGTCCGTGCGCACCCAACCAATCATCATTCCGGAGAACTCGCTCTGCGAGTTCTAACGGGGTTTTTCGAGATTCCCGCGGATTCTCGATTTCATATTCGAAATCAGGGGTATGAGAAGGCCCTGGAACGGCAAAAACAAGGAAGTCGAAAATCTGGGTGAACGGTGCCTTTAAAGCATCACACACTTTCCCACTCATCATTATAAGCAGGGTCAAGCAAGAGGTGTGGCACACGGTCGCTGGTTACGAACCCCCCCCCCTCTTATTGCTGCCTCACGAAGACCCCCTGCACTAAATACCTAAGATAGCATGACTTGAGGCCCTGTCAAACATAACGGGCAACATACCCATAATTAGCATGTCAATTGACCTTTGTGGACAATGTTTGAGCGAATTCTGAAGTTTCAAGATATTGGGTCACCTGAGTGAAATCGCCATTTTCCAGCATGATTAATTTTGTTTCAAAGGTGAAGTAGCTAGCTGTTCTTGCACTCAAGACAAAGCACTACTCCTTCTTTGGCCACAAAAATCTCGCTTCAAAAGACATCCTAACTTTGGAATTAGAAGCCAACCAAAATCTTGTGTTTCCTATCTTTCGCTTTTGAAGGCTGTGTTTTCACCAAATATTACTCAGAGCTAAGAAGACGAAGCAGGCTCAAATCAATCCTATGAAATCTACGAGGTTTAGGCAGTCCATTCATATAAATAACGTTCGCTAAAAATGTTTTTCTGATATATTATAGTTAACTAGCTGGCTTACCCGGCTCCGCCGTATCCGGACCAAACTTGGCACACATACACTTCGGGCCCCGGCGGGTGTCACAGTCCACTTTTCGTTATCGATCGATGTCGATTTTACCGATTTTTATCGATTTTTTTGCAGAGTTCACCTACAGGGCTAGGAGTTGGCACAGGGGGGGAAGTGAACATGGGGATTACGAACACAATATTAGTTTTCAGAATTATCGATTACTTTTATCGATTTTATCGATTTTTTTTTTGTAAAGTTTGACCTGCGGGGCTGGGAGTTTGCACAGGGGGGTAATCGAGCATGCAGATTACGAATACAATATTAGTTTTCAAGATCGTCCACTTTTATCGATTTTATCGATTTTTTGAAAATTTGAGCTAGGGGACTGGAATTTGGCACAGGGGTGTAATCGAGCATGCTGATCACCCCCCTTGGGGGTGATCAGCATGCTCGATTACCCCCCCCCTGTGCCAACTCCCAGCCCCCTAGCTCAAACTTTGCAAAAAATCGATAAAATCGATAAAATCGATATCGATCGATGACGAAAAGTAGTCTATGACACCCGCCGGGGCCCGT